TAATATAACTGACTGTGCTACAGAAATACACACAAGGAAACATTTGTCCAATTCCCTATGCATCTTTAAATAACCTAACAATATGTACGGTCTGTAATGAATTCTTCATCATCTCATTTTCTGCATCAGCTGAGGCCTAAAGCTATACAATTTTATAAAAGGAAAAATGTAAGTCTTGGATACAATAAAACAACACAAATCTCATTTACCCGCCCAAATGATCAAAGAGATATGTATCAAAAGTAGACATTATGATAGGATTCTCACCCAGACCAAGCAAAGTAAGACATCTGCCCTGGCAGCATTTCACATGACAAAATGGAGAACACAGCAAATCAGAATTTCTAATGCTTTTCTCACATGATTTTATAATTCAGACAACTGACTGGTCCACAAAAGAACAAGCTAGAATAATGGTCTGAAAGGGACATTTATTATTGCATGCAGTGCAGTTACACACAGTCATAGATAGAGTAGATAGAGTTATAAACTAAGCAAGGTTTCCACCGAAAGCACACTCCACTTTAAAAAACAACAACAAAACCTTGTAGGATTAATTTTATGAAACATTTTTTATAAAATAATAACAGCATCTATGATAGGGCTTTTGGAGTATTCCCCACCCTCCTCCTCCTTGAATTTTATAAATGTTATTAAACGTTATTAAACCACTAATTTAGATAGAATTTACTTGAGAATAGTTTGGAGGCCTAGCAGTTATACCACCCCTGTGAACATTAAAATTTGTGCAAGAACAGGTCCCTTGAACTTTAGAGACCTGTTAAGTGCTGAACACCTTCAGTTCCCATTCGTATAAGCAGGAATTACAGGTGTTCAGCATGTTGCATTGCTGAAATGACACACTCAGGCTCAGGAAGAGAAATAAGACAGTGCTTTGTTTAGTCAAATTAACCCCATGGTTTAAGGAGTGGCAGTGCTAAGATCCAAAGTTCCCTATCTTAAAACAGGGAATAATGGGAGTGAGAAACTAATACAGGTCGAACCTCTCTGGTTGGCAACATCCATGGTCTGGCATGATTTTAGTTAGCCAGATGTTCACTTATTATGGGTGAGGCCAAGTTTCCCACAGTGCCATAAAGCTTATGTACAGCCACCAGTCCTGACTCTCAGTGCTGTTATTTAGCTCTAAATTACGCATAACTGTCTTCCAAGAGCTCAGTAAGCAGTAAAAGTGTTGGTAATGCTGCTAGACAATACTGACCTCCCTTGGTGCAGCAAATACTCTGGTTTGGCACAAATCACGTCCTAAGTGTGCTGGATTAGAGAGGTTCAACCTGTACAACTATGAAGAGGAACCTCCTCCAGTAAAAAACACCTGTAACACATTTTTTTGGTGGGCAAAAGTGTTTTTATCCTAGTAAACAAACTCCATATATGTACACACATACATATAAAAGCCAGCCATGATCTTGAGTAGAGCTAGAATTTAATTAAAAACAGGAGAAATGTGTTGTGCTGGCAGTTTTGTTGTAGCAGTGCTATGCACTCTCTGTGCCAGAGATCTTCTAAGAGAATTCTTGGTTGCCATTTTGGCACCATAACAAGGTAAGCATGCAAGATCACAGAGAGAGAAAGCTAGCTTATGTCATGTATTAGTAGCAAGCACTGGCCAATCAAGGAGTGCCACTGACAAGCTCCCAAGTAATAGCTACAGTACTGGGGTCTTGTTTGCAGGGATTAGAGAGGTTAAAAAAAGACCTTTTCTAAAGGCAAACAGCTTGCAGCAACTCTAATCACAAAGGCCGCATAAGAGAGAGGCTGAGGATCAGCCATAAATCCTTTTATATCCTGAGTAACTTTTTCATTTTTATATTAACTGTTTCTTGTTAGGTAAAAAGAAGAAGAGTTGTATTTTTCTCTTTTTAAAATTAGCACAGAATTTAGGAGAATGCTCACTGGAATCATGGAGTACTTTCCGAGGTGTAAATGCAGCAGAAAATACACTTCTCCAAGAAAGAATAGTATAGTCCAACACACTCACCTACTTACCCATGTAGCACCAAGTTACCTATGTACACTGGCACGTCTCTGCTGTTCCATCCCCCTGGAAAAAACCCTGTAATATTTAAGGTGGCTAACTTGAGATGTCAACAGATTATATGACAGGAAAGTACAGAACCTGTAATTAGTTGCTTTCTACATCCAAGTCCCTAAATTATCAGGATGGGACATGAATGTAGAAGCAAACAAACAAAAACACAAAAAACATATATTCCCAAACAAAACTAAAAGCACAACTAGCAGCTTCTTTTGGTCCAAATTTAGTGTGAGCCACATATGTACATTCAAGGACAGGATTTGGCTGAAATATCTTTTAGGGTATCAAAAGATTTCCAAACTAAAAATCCTAAATTGCTCAGTCACTTAGCTTTTTGTTCTGCATTTCTACATTGTCTAGCACTACATGGTCCTGGCCCATGAGTAGGGTTCCTAGAGGCTACAGAAGCAAGTTAAACAACAATGGAAAAGTTGTTACATGGAAATCTGTATGAAGCCTAGATACCAAAAAGAAATAATCAGAAATGTGTACTTCATCAATATGTGGCATTGTATTTGTACTATTATTTGGTTATTGTACATTCTAGCAATGCTTTTATGATTTCATAATAGTACTTTATCAGAGTATTAATTTAAGATTATTAATAGACAGAATATGGATAATTAATGGTCACCTCCACTCTATTAATCTAACTTTAATCCTGTGGCATTTCTATACCATTAACACAACATGAAGTCATTGTGGAATCTACAGTCTAATCAGAAAAAGTCTAAATGCAAATCACTTCTCTGAATCTATTTAAAAGGGATCTGTGCCTAGCCTAACTAGACACTAGAGGTCGCTCTAACACCATCCTTTATTCAGTCATCATTGGTTTTCATTACATTGGAAGAACTGAGAGGTGAGCCTGAGTGAAGGCTCATACTCAAAATGTCATAATTCAGCATCACCATGTCACTATATACAATAATTATATAGGCTTTATAGAGCAGTACATGTCATTGAAGCATTGTACAAACATTGACAAAAACAGAAATACAATTTGAGCTTCATAGCAGTTTCCCAACCACTGTATGCTAAAAAAAAAAAGACCTAATCTTAGATCCTACAGTAAAGTATAAGAGCAGGTGCACTCACTCAACTTTGGGTTGTTCCACTAACTGAACCAGTTCTCAGCATAAATTAAAAAAGCCTAATGCTCTAATTTATGATGACTACAGTTTTGAATGATCATTCTGGCAGCTAAGGTCATAAGAGATCACTAACCATGCCCCTTTGCTGCATAGGAACCTGGGTGAGCTTCAAGGTGCTAGGGTGGGGGTCTCTGGTCATAATGTTTTCTCAACCAGGGACCACAAACTAGGGATATGAATGTTAAACTGGTTAATCAGTGGGGGCTGGAGCAGCCCCTACCTGCATCAGGATGGGGCTTCTCCACCCCCGTGCCCCCCTTTAATCAGTTAACCAATATATTTATCCAGTTAACCAATTAAATGGGATTTTACAACCCTACTGGAAACAGGATTCAGGGATCCACCAAGCAGGGTCAGCATTAGACTTGCTGGAGTCTAAGACTGAAGCCCCACTGTCTGGGGCTGAAACTACCACACCACTGCCTGAAAGCGGGAGCCTTGCTGCCTGAACTGAAGTTGTAGCCTGAGAACTGAGCTTTGCAGGACCCTGGGCAGTTGCCCTGCTTGCTACCCCATAACTAGGGTCCTTCCAATTTTAACACCATGAAAAACATGTCAAGAAATTAGCACTACCATGAAAAATGATCTCCCAGAAATCAACCAGGCTAGAGAGGGATAGGACTTCTTCCCTTGCTGGGCTGTTGTTAGAGGGATATCAGATCCACCCCCACAGGCAGCACAGAAGTTCTGCAGCAGTCCCAGAGCTGGGCTTCAGGCTCCTGCACAGTCTTGAGCTACCCAGACTACAGATTGAAGCTAAGGACTGCAGCTTCTGCCATGGCCCTGGGATGCAATTTCAGATTGAAAAGCCAACCTTTAATGAACTCAAACACACACCTTTTTCCATGCTCAGATAAAGACTCTAGTACTTACCCATTCCTCTCCCCTAAGACAGGGACCTGCCATTCATTTCCCATTGTTGTTTTGACTCAGCAGCAATACTTGTCATAATCCATTTCCAAGAGTTGGCAGGGCACCTCTGCTGTTGATAGGAAACACCCCTTCCCTGAGGGTGCCATTGGATGCCCTCCATCTCCTATCCCACTCACTATCCTGTGCACCCCTTCAGCTCCCTCCTGCATCTACACCACTGTCTGCTTTGCTCACCGCCCCTTCCACACTGTGTCTCTCTGCTGCTTCCCACAGTGCCTATGTCTGTCCAGCCCATGAACCATAGTGGTAGCCATTTTGCCTGCGAGCTGGCTTCCTCCTGTTGACAGCAGGGAACGCTGATAACAGTAGCAAGAAATGTCTGACAATGCACCCTCCATTACGTGTGGGATAAGTTTTGTTATGTGCACTGTGGCGTGCGCAGATGCGAATCGCAGGCAGAGACACGTGCTGCTGGCTGTGGATGCTGCGCTAATCAGCTGGGTGGCATCTGAATCTCTCCAGGGTGGCTGCCCAAGCACCCGATTGACAGCAAACCCTGTGGGGTCAGCGGGCAGCCAGAGGCGGGAGGGGCGACTGCGGGTAAGGGACACAGTGATGAGTAGCAGCTTCCCGTTAGCTCCTCGCCCGGGTAAAACACGCCGCAGCGGGCAGCGCTGAGACAGGGCTCAGACTCTGCCCTGCTGGGAGCGCTGCCAGCGCAACGCCCCCCTCGGCCCAGCCCTCACGTGACAACAACGGTTGTTACCAACTGCTCCAGCAACAGCCCACCAGGGCGCTAGCAGCTCTCTGGGCTTCGGCACCCTCACGCCCCTCCCTTTCCCCCCAACTCTCCTTTTCGGCTCGCAGGCCCCACCCACTATGGGGCATCTTATCCAATCAGGCAATGAATCAGACTGACGTCAGGACAGATGTTCGCTCGCTTTGCTTATTGGCTGCGGAACGCCCCGCTCCCCTTCGGAGCTGAACTGCTCCCCCCCATCCCGCCTCCTCGGTGTCTGTTGTGTTTGTGGGGCGAGCGAGAGGAAGCGCGCGTGCGCCGACAGCCCCAGGCAGGGAGGCTGCGCAGGCGCGCTGAGGGAGGGGGAGAGGAAAAGGTAGAGCAGCGGCAGCGGCAGCGAGCGCCGGTGACCGCAGCTTGTGGAGCAGCGGCGCGAGGTGAGCGGGGAGGGGCTGTCCCGTTGCGGGGCGCGCCTGGGCCAGCGTCTTGGAAGCCAAAGCGGCTCGGGGGGGCGGAGCTGGGGATGCGCTAGGCGGGGCGGGGGCCGTTCGGTTCCGCACCCGGCGATGCGCGTCCCGCCGGTGCCATAGCAGCTCCCGCGGGCTCAGCGCGGGCTGGCCGAAAGGCGAGCGAAGCGCCTGGCGGGGCCGTGGCAGCAGGACGCCCCCGCCCCCTTCTCAGCCGGTCCGTGCGCGGGAGAGGTCTAAGGTAGCCGCTTTCAACATGGCAGAGGCCCATTTGATCGTCCGGTGAACTGCCCCATGCCGGGCTAACGGCAGCTTTGGCGCCCGTGGGCGGTGACCGCCTCAGTGCCCCGAGCGCAGCTTGCCTGGGAGCAAGGGTTGGAAAGCCTCTCGCCTTTGTGTGCAATTCGGGATTGGGCAATACCGGCTAAGTCACCTCCCTCTGCCCCCTGTACAATTTACACCAAATATGGCCAAACCTATCTTACAGCAGCAGCGGCTAGTTATTCTTTTGACGTTGTTTTCTCTGTTAGCAGAACACCGCCCAGCAGTCCTGCATCCAGGAGTGGAAGGGTCCCATTCTACAATGATGAATGCTGACATGGATGGTAGAAGGCCTTTCATTTTCTTCTTAACTAATATGCTTTAGTGTAATTGCTTATTCTGCTACAAAAGCTGCATTAAAGTGTATGTGGTTTATTGCAGCGGTTGAGGCTGAAAATCAGGTGGAACTGGAAGAAAAAACACGACTTATTAATCAGGTTTTGGAACTGCAGCACACACTCGAAGGTTAGCAGTTTGCCATCTTAGACCATCGCAAACGTTGAGCAGCATGTAAATATTTGTAAGGAAACTCTGTATTCTGGACAAATACAGACTCCCTGGCCAAAAGAGCAAACTGAACTACTGTTCATAATCTTTATTTAAGCCAGGGGTGGAGAAACTTTTTTTAGGTTGGGGGCTACTAAACCACAGAAAAATTAGTTGGGGGCTGCACACAAGTGAGAATCAAACACGAAAAACCAAACCCTCACTGACATGGCCCCTGACTGAGAAGGAGAAAGGCACTCCCCATCTTCCCTGTGCACACCAGAGCCAGGGAGGGGGCTTAGGCTAGTAGATTTGGGTGATCCAGCCCCCCTGGTGTACGAGTGAGGAGGCTGGAATGCTGATACTGAGGGGAGCCCTGAGCATTGGGGGCCAGATGCAGCTCCTGAACCTTAGGTTCCCTACCCCTTGAACTAAGCAAATAGCCTGCATCTTATGGCGAATAAGATACATAAACATGATGTGATCATCTGGAAGGTACTTCATTGACACTAAACACAATTTTTGTTTGTGTAATGTGGGGTCTGATATGCTCTTAAATTATTAAAAAAATCAAAATGGACCTGCTTCAATTTTTCTGTCATAGTATTAATATGCTTGTGAGTGAGCTTATTAATGCTTGGTCAGCTGTAGCTAAGTATAATAGCATCTAAAAAACTAGGTGAATCACCCAAAATAAATTTGCCATCATTAGTCTAGAAATAAAAAAGTGAAGGATAATTAACAGGATGAGATGCTTAGGTATCAAATTTCATCCCAGACTGCCATGTTGCAAGTAACTTCATTTAGAAAAAGATTGTTGGATGACACTGTTTGGTGGTATTTCATACCATATTGCATTGTAGTTTTACCGTATGTAAACACTCAAATAGAGGTTTAATCTTCCTGCTCCAGCCTGCCTAGGATCTGACCTGTTCCGAATCAGGGAATTTGCCAAACTGGCAAGGTCAATACCAGCTCCACTGTTCCAGAGTTCACCTCCATGACAGGTGTCCTGACTCCACTCACCTGTTTTCTCCCATGAATGCTCCTACCCAAGAGCATCCACAACAGTAAGGGACAATCTGCAGCCCACTGGAGCTTTGTGTGTGGCTCCTGAGACATTTTGTCTACCATGGCCAGGAGCAGAGTTGCCAGTTTCTGCTGGCTTCCTTCCACATAGAAGGAAAAAAAACTAGTATTACTAAAGTGATGTGCACATAAAAAGAAAGGGCAAGTGAAGTGAGGCATGTGCTGATGGTACACAATATTGAGAGAGCCATGCCCACCACCTGCATTCAAAGTGGTGCTACAGTTCTTTACCCACCCCACAAATTCTAAGTACGTAAGTGCAGTTAGTAAAACTATCCTATCTTGGGAGGCTGTCTTGGTTAAAACTTGCAGCCCACCGAGACAGAGGACCACTGATGCAGTCTGTTCACTAGCCTAGGATGTCTATTGCTGACCCACACTATCACCACTACCGACAAGGGAAGTCTGGATTACAGAGGCTTAACCGATAACTTGATTTGGACACATGATATGGCTTGTGTTATGCTTTAAACACAATTTTTTTTTATAGATCTGTCAGCACGAGTAGATGCTGTGAAAGAAGAAAACCTGAAACTGAAATCAGAAAATCAAGTTCTTGGACAATATATAGAAAATCTCATGTCTGCATCTAGTGTTTTCCAGACAACTGACACAAAAAGCAAACGAAAGTAAGGGGTTGATTCCTAGATTACATCGTTGTAGTGCTGCTTTTTCTGTTTTAATTGAAATACTTAGTTTGTCGCTTTGCTGGATATTTGAAGATTAATGGCAATTATAGACAGACTTAAGAACACTCTCAGACAACTGGAACCATGGTTGTGTACTATTAGCCTTTAAGCAATGTGCAAATGTAACAGACTAACTAGACTTGCATATTTGTTTCTAAAATCAACAATGGCATGTCTTGTGAAAACTGGATTCAGTTTGTCAGGTTCAGTAAATACATTTGACAGTCAACTACTTTGAAGATTTTAGAATAGTGTCTTGATTAGCAGAAAAATACAGTGTTTGTAAAACAGGGTTGAAACCTTTCTTTCAATGATTACAAACCTATTTTGCACCACCTCTTCGGTTGAAAAATAATGTTTAGGTATGTGTAGAACACTGTCATTACCCCTTGACCAGTGATATAAAAAAATACTTAACAGGTTAAGGATTTTCATGAACAAGTAGAGATGGGACTACACTCTGCAGGGTTTTAATGATTTGCTTGTTCTTGACAAACTGAAGATAAAATTCTGTAAAGATTTTTTTATGGAATGCTGAATTACTGTGACTGTTTACAACTGGTATACCTTGCACACTTCAAACCAGTTTTTCCCTCCCAACTGCCAGCACTCCAAAAATGGCAGATTGCATTATCTTTAAAAAAGCAGGTTTTCAGTTACATATTAGTGATCATGAAATAGCTTGAATTGTAGTCTTGATAGAAACAATAGCCTTCAAACAGCTATTCATCCTACTTTGAAGAATTTGCACTGAGGAACTGAAGATTATATCTTCAGGGTCTGTTTTTCCCCCCCTTTCTGCTGCTTGTTCCCTTTTTCTGGCATGAGAACATATGCTGTACCTATTGAGGCACAGCAACAGCACAAAAGATATAGTCCAGGAAGGGTGTTGGAACAAATGACTTCAGAGCCACATTGCCTCTTTCTGGGCTGGTGCAGGCCCCAGCCTAAAAGAGTAAGGCTAGGGAATCCTGTAACTACCAGTTATGCTCCCTGACTACTACTGAGCTCATATTCAGCCTAGAATTGCTACAGTGCAAAACACTGGCTACGCTACCCTCTCCTCCTGCACCAGTCCTGAGGTGGTTTAGGGGAATACACCTCACACAGGCACTGTCCTAGGCTTTGTTTACACTGGAAATGTAGCTCAGTGTATGTAGATACTACTTCTTCTAATATCAGGTTTTTTTCCTGTTGGCATAACACCATTCCCTTGAATGACATTAGCTATCTCAATATAACTATTCATGTAAGCATAGATGCTTCTATTAGGGATGTTAATAGAAGCATCTTTGATTGCATCGACTATTTGACTAGTCAAATTTACCTAGACTATTTTATTAGTTGATAAGGGCACCTCCATCTTTGAAATAGGCCCATGGCTGTTGTTACACTTCAAAGGCAAAAGCGCTGCAGGGAACACAGGGCCAGCAGGGAACTCATGTAGTCCCCCACTGGCCCCGTGCTCTCTGCAGCATTTATAAGCAGCAGTGTCACATGGAGCCTGGTGTCAGCTGGGGACTCCTCCGTGTAGCCTAGGCTCTGTGCAGTGCTGCCGCTTTGAAACACTGCAGAGAGCCCAGCATCAGGCTTCACGCAGTGTTTCAAAGTGGCAGTGCCGCACAGAGCCCAGGGTTAGCGGGGGAGTCCCCAGTTGATTTTGGACTCAGTGTGATGCTGCTGCTTTGAAGCATCTCCTGTTTCTCTTCCCTCCCTCCCAACCTTGTTGCCTCTCTCTGATATAGGCAGCAAGTGGGGGGAGGAGAGGGAGGAAGTGACTAGTTGACTCAACTTTCACATCCCTAGCTTCTGTATTGGGGGCTTTGCCAGCATAGCTAGGTTGTTTTTTCACACCCTTAATTATTGGCTATATTGACAAATTTTTGTAGTGTAGACATGTCCCTTAATGCCCCAGTGCCACTGGAGCAGTGTGCAGGTGCCAAAAGCTAGCTGTTTCATACATAATTTGATGCCTGACCAACCTCATTATACTGATTTCTATTGCCATAGGTAGCAACTTCCAGTTCCTGCACTAATACATTTCCATCTGTTCAGAAAGAGGCAGAAATTGGTAGTTATCTATGTCTGGGATGTTTTTTGGCTACGCTAGTAGTTGAATGCGGTGGACTGGTTTATGTGACCTTTCAGCAACTGTTCAATATGCTAGTGTAGATGTGTTAAATGATCTGCTGTTACTGGGATTGGGGCTGTAACAAAGGTCAGTAAAGTCTTTACAAATGTTTCTAGTATACTTCAGTATTAATAGTGAAAAAGCAAAGTACATGGCAGTAAGATTTCATTTATCAGTATTGAAAGTTACACATCTCTCCCAACTGTCTCTATCAAGCTAGTTGATGTGCTGTGGTTTTATAAATGTTAATTAAAACATCTTTTCAGTAATGGAAATCTTTTTCCATGTTAAGAAGTAAATTTGTGCTTAAGGCTGTATTTCATCACTTCTGTGATAAGTCTGTAAAATAAAAAATTGTTTTGGTGAGTGGGTACATCCATAAAGAGTTAAACCAGTCTCAGATGGCTTTCTTGACAGCTAAAAATCAATAACAGCAGAGTGATGACATACAAGGCCACATCCATGCAAGGAAGAATGTTCAGGCCTTTGTCTCTTCCCCCACTGTTAAAAAAAAATTACAGCTACAGCCTATGCACAATTTTAGATGGGTGCAGGTGGCATACTAAAAGTGAAGCTTCTAATTCAGGTACTAAATCAGGGCTCTGGTTGCAACAAGGTTAAATGTATAGAATGAATGGGATGTAATCTGGCTAGAGCTTTTATCCAACTGCATGGCCAACATACTGTCTGAGACCTATAAACCCTTAACAATTTTAAACTTCTATATGATTTATCTGTCCCCTTTGTGCTTACTGAACACCTGGCGTGTACTCAAGTATTGGTAGCAAGTAGGATTAATCTCCTAGCTAATGACTTAACTAAGGGGTGTTCAGGTATAAATCAGTGTCCATTTACCTTTTAAACACATTTTGCTCCTTTCTGTGTCTTATAACTTAAGGGGAGAGGAGGTAATAATATTGGGTGGTCAAATATTGGAATAAATTGCCAAGGGAGGTGGTGGAATCTCCCTCTCTGGAGATATTTAAGAACAGGTTAGATAGACATCTGTCAGGGATGGTGTAGACGGAGCTTGATCCTGCCTTGAGGGCGGGGGGCTGGACTTGATGACCTCTCGAGGTCCCTTCCAGTCCTATTATTCTATGATTCTATGAAATGTAACAGAGAAGATCCACCATTGTCAGTTGGTAATGAAGTATGCACTTGTTAGACTTGAGCCACTTTCCTAAAATCATGGCGTAATCTTAATCATGTTTTGTATTAATGTAAGATTGGATAATGTTTTAGCCATATGTATATAGAATAGTCATTTCACGTGTAAACATTTTGTTTCCCACTATTGTGGCCTTTTAGCTTACCAACATTTTAAAATTGTGTTGTATTTCTGGTTTTGCATTTAATAAAAGATGGATTTGTCTCAGTTGGTTTGTCTTAGAATGTTTTACAGATATGTTGGGAGCTAAGTAGGGATGTGAATGGTAACCAGTTAACAGATAAATAACCAATAGGAGCTGGAGCAGCCTCCCACAGCCATGGGCAGGAGGCTCCTCAAGCTTGGTGATGCTCCAATCTGGCAGGAGTGTGCTGCACTGCAGTACCCTTCCCTCCCCCTGCTCACCTCTGTTTAAAGTGGTTAGCCAGTTAAAGTTTAATTGGTTAACTTATTAAATAGGATTTTACATCCCTAGAACTAAGGCCCTTTTAAACTCATGTGAAAGGGCTACACAGAAATATTTGAACAGTAGTCATGGTAAATATTTGCTAACCACACTGAGTATAAAATTTTTCAGCAAGTTATTGCCACTGATTGTCTCTAGGAACTAAAACTAAGTTTATGCATAGCTATCAGGTGAAGCTAATCAGCATTAGAAAATTAATTCACTTATTTCCCTCAACTTTGTCAGAATAATTAATCAAATTCTATTACATATTTTGAAGTGTGTGTTTGTGGATTTGTTTGTGCAAAATAAAGTCATACTTCCTGATTAGCTACAAGTACTAAATTTTGCATGAACAATCCCACCACGTAAGTTATCTAAATGCACTGCTTTTTACACTGGAACATGGTGGGTGAAAGATTTTTCTTTTGCTAGAAAAACTGCCATGACTTTAGAGTTCACAAAAATATTTGCTAACAATTAGAATAGTTGCCTATTCGACTGTTATTTTAGTGACAAGAATATTTGGTACTGTTACAAATTCAAATTAGTTATGAGAAGAGTAATGGAAGCTTTCAGTCATTCAAATTTACCATGTATGGTAATGTTTCAATAAAATGAATGTTTGAAGTTGAGATTTTACAAATTTAAAATTGTTCTTTTACTTTTTTCACACACATTAACAAATTCTATGACATTTAATTTTTTGAACTTTCCTATAAGTGTAACTTAGACAAAGTGACTTTGCCTGGTCAGCTACAGGCCTCACCTCCTAGTAAGCTCTATCTGTGCCAGAAGGAAGGGGGGAAAAAAAAAAAACTTTGCATTGCTGTATGATCTTTTGCACTACTTAGTCTGTGCTCTAAACACTCCTTAATAGGTACTAAAAGGCCCAATCCTATGCCATTAACTACAGTGGACTTAGACCCAAAACAGCTGTCAAACTGGAAAGTGTATATCATAAAAGGTTTTGGGCATCTAAAAAAACCACACTGAGAACCTATTCAATACTAAAGTGTGGACACCAGCAAAATCCTTAAAACCCCTATTAGTAGCTTTGAAGTCTTGTACTTTGTTTAAAAATATTTATTTGGAGATGTGTACCCTAATACAGGGTCTTAAGCTACAGCTTTGAACACTATAGGGCTAGTATACACTAGAAGTGCTACGAGATAGCTATGCCAGGGGAAGATGCTTTATGTCAACAGAAAAGTGATCTCCTGTTGGCATAATAAAACCACCTCTGCAAGAGGTGGTAGCTATGCAGGTAGGAGATGTTGTTCTGATAAAGCATTGCACATCAATGCTCAGGTTGCTCTAACTCCTGTTGCTCAAGAGAGTGGCTTTTCCAGAGGAGCTTAATCTTGCTTTCTCTAAGAGCTACATCTCTTTCAAATAATCAATCTCTACGTTGAGCCTTTGGTATTCTGGTTCTCCCACCCACCCTCCTGTAAACTCAGTGGCTAGTTTATGAATCCCCACCTCACTTCCAGAATGTTTGGAGGCTGTCAGTTGTTAGCAGCTATGATGCATCTGAGGGAAGAAAGCTGGCTATCTTGAAAGCCTTGGAATATGAAGCAGATTTTAGGCAGGTAATGCTTTGGTACTGAAAATAGGTATTAGCAAAATCTGGCTGATACTCTTTTTTTGTCCCACTTACAAAAGAAATCCCCCTCTCAATCGAGAGAGGTGGTTTTGTATTACAACTAATTCCTGGCAGTAAGAAGGAAAAGTATCTCTAATCCACTAGTCCAAGTCCAAATACCCAGAAGAAAGCTACCTACCACCTTGTAAATTTATTTTAAAGCTGTGGTAACTTTATATTTATCCATACAAAAGCACCAACTTTGAGTTTTGGTATATCCTACTTTATCATTCTCCAGGGCAAATCACTAAGAGGTTGTTTCTGAGAAAAGGAGGGAGCACTAGAAAGGAGACTGTCCCCTCTAGCCAGTCAGATCATATACTTTCCTAATGAAGCATTGCAGAGTAAGCAGTTCACTTGTGAAATTAAAAAGGGAAGGCTTTTGAATACACTTAAATCTTCTAGTAGGTGATACTTCATCCTGCCCAAGCAGTGGCAAGACACTTAATGGGAAACGGAGAACTGTTGGAGACAGATGACCCTCTATTATCTGAAGGGCTACAGCTCTCAGGAGAAGCTCACATCTTGATGGTAGCCACGGTACAATGAATAAAGCCATCCAGAGCAGGTTGGTGTATGCAACCATCTCAGTGCAGACCTCACCAATGTGTAAGATGAATGGGAAATTTTCTCTCTAATGCTATGGAGAACTTGGCCTTCCCTAGTGATTCAGGCCTTCGATAGATTTGTAAGCAGTAGGAATGGGGATCCCATGCTCAGGCAGAAGCTATTAAGACTAATCACTTCTTCCTTACTGTTAACTCCCAATCTTACTGAACTAAGACTACTTGCTTTCTGCTCAACGACCTCAGCATTGACAAGATTTTTCCTGCTCAGCCAGTTCAACATAGAACTTGGCCACACACAAGCCAGAAACTTCATCTTTGGCCCAGATGAATGTGGTGTGGACCAAGGGTCAAGCAATTGGGACAGTTATATTCTACTTCCCCTTTCTGTTTTCCATTTCAGTGGGTGAAGGGATAATGGGAGAAAGGAGGATAGGGAATGAACAGAAAGAGATAGTGCTCCATAAAACTTCTTTAGAAATCCATAGGAATGTTTTGAAGGAAATAGTTTTAGAGGCATAAACACTTCAGACCATAAAGAAAATAAGAAACTTAGTTTAAAATCTTAAATCCTGTAAAGGGGACTTTACTGTAAAAGAAAGAACTAGACTCTGAAATTTATACACGTTTCAAAAAAAAAAAAAAAAAGTAAGATTCAACAGCAAAAATGAACTGCTGGAATAGTGAAGGGGATAGCAGCATGTGAAAGTCACAGTCCCTCATTCACTACTTCAGGGTAAAAAATTCTGCAGGGAGTTCTGTCAGACTCAGCTTAGAAAGTAGAGATCCTAGTAATGAAAATTCTAGCATAAATTCTCATTGCAAAGACAAAATCCAGTTATTTAAATAATTCAGAAATCCCTGGTTTTAAAGACTTTTGTGGTGTCTAATTATTGCAACTATATTGTGTTTAATGTTTTAGTATAAGATAGAAGCAAAAAAGTTTCTCTTGCACTATACTGTTTTAGATCCCAGTGTAAAGTGTCCTTGTGACTTACTATCACTTAAAGACTCAACTCTTCAAAATTCTTGTCTGTAAAACCAGTGCTTTTTTTGTGACGGTACTGCCTGGAATGGCGTACCGTCACCTATTTTCCCAGCCCACAGAAAGGGAATGGGATTTCCCCCACGCGTACTGGCACCTGTTTTCCTGGGGCAGCTTGGCTCCTGACAGAAGCCTGCTTGGGACATGTGGCGTTTTTTCTTCCAGTTCCCAGCACAGTGCTGTGGCTCTTAAAGGGGCCGTGACCGAATTTTGGCCCCCAGCGCGTTTTTTTGATTTGTTTAGATCAACACATTTTCAAGTTTTCCTCCCCCTCCCCCCGCTCAACAAGTTTGCCCCAGAGTACCGGCACCTTTTTTCTTACAAAAAAAGCACTGTGTAAGACTAATACATTTCATGCTGAGCATAAAAGATAATATTAAATATTTATTTTCAAGAGGCAATGTACACTAAGCAAATATTTTGTCAACCAGGATTAGGCCATTCTGGCTAGGAACATGAGAACTATAAAAATTTGAAAAAAGTCGCCTGTACAGCATTTTACTTCAGTAGATGTGAATTCTCTGCATTCAAATGTAAAACATGCTACACTATTAATTGTGTTTCTACGAATGTTACGTTTTCAAATAAATTACTGGAATAAATGCCTGGAGTGAACATGACCATAAACATAACATTATAAAGGTAGATCATGACAATAAAGTTGTGTTGCTAGGACTGAACATTTATCATACAAAAACAATTACTGTAATTCTGCACAGGAAAAATATGACTGGCCACTTCTCTAGGGCTCTGAACTATTAGCAATGCTACATTTCATTTCAGCTGAAGGGAAGCAGCTGATTTGTGCTACAACTGAAAAAATACTATTGCATTTAATATTCATTTTTCAAAAAAATGTTTAGTGCCAAAATGACCTTCAAACAAATATGAACTCATTAGTTTCTAAAAATATTAATCTTTTAAATCAGATAGTCAAATTGCCATTTTTACTTTTATTGTAATTTGAAACCCCACCTAACTTCACAGATAGAATTTTTTCTCAAAAAAGGTTGGGAAGAACAAGGAGGTTGGGAAGATCAAGGAGATCAATGGAAGCAGGAGGCTATGTACTGCTAAGTCCACTTCCCCCCCTTTTTAAATCTCAAAGTAACTTGCACGCTGTCAGGCACACCAAAATGGCATGCCAAATCTCTATAAATCAGGAACTAAAAATACTAGTTGGAAATAATTCAGTCCTTTCGTACTCTTCTTTTACGTACGGATTTCATTGGACCATCTCCCGATCCTGTGCTTTCATCAGCTTCTTTCATCTGGAATAAAAATTTTTGGTTTAACTTTATCAAAATGGCAATCTAAGTGACAATAATGAAAGCTATTTTCCTTAGCCCTATAGATAAAATACAACATGGCAAATGTTACAAAATGCACAATAATAGGCTCCCTTTTCTCAGCCCTAAATAGTCTTAATTTCCTGTCCTATAAACAGAATATAAAACATGGTTTTATATTTACCCAGTATAAACTGGTTTTATCCTCAAAAACTTATTTACTTTGCTTTAGAAAAGTATCTAAAGTACAGTACAGTCTGCACTCATTCTACCCATGATTTCTTCGTCTGGAGGTTTTGGGTACTCCACAGCTGCATTGCTCTGTGAAACTGAAAGTGAACAACATGGGACTGTCCAAACCAGGCATCTGACCTAATGTGCTTCCCAATTTGAACACAGGTAATTACTGTATCAGAAGTCTTAAGAGAAAATTCCTGCACGGGCCAATGTATTGTAATCCTGTTTGTTGCACCATCCAATGGCAGGCCTGTCATTTTTAATTTAAAATTCCTGAGCCATACCACTGCCTTAGCAATGACACAATCAACTTTTTGAGAAATCTGAACTACAGATCAACAGCTACCATAAAATCTCAAGTATAATGTGCACCTATGTATAGTGCACACCCTGAGTTTAGACTCTTAAAATCATGAAAAACCCGAACTCCTATGTACAATGCGCACCCATTATACAGGAGAATGGGAGGGAAGGAATGGGAAAGAAACCTGCCCCCCACCCAGCTGCCCGTGCGCCGAGCTTGCATCTGCCAGGGGAGCCTCCCCTGCCCAGCTGCCTGTGCGCTGCCAAGGGTGAGTTTAAAACTTAAAAAAAAAAAACCACCTATAGATAATGTGCACCCGACTTTGACGGGAAAAAAAATGCGCATTATACTCGAGCTTTTACGGTAGTCATAATTAGGGATGTAAGCGACAAGCCGACTATCCTACAAGCAAATACTTATCAGATAGTTGACTAGTGACTCAACTAGTCACTTCGCCCTCCACCCTTGCTGCCTCTACCAGAGAGAAGCAGCAGGAGAGGAGGGAAGCAGGATCTGGTGCTGGGGGGAGCCAGTTCCCCCCAGCACTGTCTCTCTGGGAAGCAGTGGTAGGGGTGCAGAAGGGAACTGGTGGTGTTTACATTTCAAAAGCAGAAAAGCTGCAGGGAGCCTGGGGCAAGCTGGGGACTCAAACCCGGAAGGGATCTTGTACATTTCAAAAACAGAGCACCACTGGGGTCTGTTTGAGTCCCCTGCTGGCTGTGCTCCCCATGACACTCCGCCTTTGAAATGTAGCAAGAGCTGACAGGGCTTTTGCTACATGTCAAAGGCAGAGGTGCCCTTACTGTCTAATCGAATAATCTATGCAAATTACATTGACTATCTGATTAGTTGATAAATCTAAATTTAAAATCCTGAGTCATAATTATAAAATAAATGTTTGTATATACTGATAACTGAATTAAAAACATTTCAATATTTCTTATTTTTTTGCATCTTAAAGTCTTCCAAAATAAGGCATTAAGAGATTTTTTGCCTGCTGAAGCATCCAAAACACATTTTCAAAACTGCTAGAAGAGTTGCTAACTATGCCAAACTTCTTTCAATCTCTCTGGCACAAACCCTGCCAACACCATTATGTTCTTTAGAAGGCTATATGTTTTAAAATAATACTACACCAGGCAAACTCAGTGGAGGAAAGAGTTTTTTTCCAAAACACAACAGATTGCTTCCCAACACATTTACAAAGTTTCTGCTGGACCTAACAGGGGAAGGTGTGTAACCAAAGATTTTACAGGCCTATACAATTCTAATGCCTGACATATTACATAATAAAATAAATCAAACTAATATACAGAGAAAACATCCAGATAAATTCACGAGCAACCCATTTATGGACAAATTGGAGGGAGAGAGAAGAATGTAGTCACTATCTCCTGTAAAACGAGGCATTTCCAAGAACAATCAAATTCCTGGTTTTTGCCACTGTGCTCATTTGCAAATCTTATTTGCTGTTCTAGAGTAGCTCACCTCATCCTCTGAACCAGATTTATTTGATTTGTCGCCTTCTTCCTGACTTCCCTCTGCAGCTTCATTCTCCTCTTCATCATCATTTTTATCTTCACCTTCACCCTCACCTTCCAGAGCAGATATTAACAATGAGTCAGTAAATAGGCTATTTTATGCAAAGGTAAGAGAGGTATTATGCAAAAACACTACTAGAGAAAAATAAAATTTGAAATTGGTGTATATTGTAACAGACTATTTTATATGACATGGTTCAGACTAACATAAGAGAAGGTTACTCACCTGTGCAGTAACTGACATTCTTCGAGATGAGTGTCCCCATTGGTGCTCCACATCAGATTGGTGTGCTGCCACCTAGCCTTGGATTGGAGTCTTCAAAGCAGTATCCCCAGGGCTGTGCATGTGTGTGCTTTTAGCCATGCACTGCTTCTGTGCAGGCATCGTGCATGTGTGACAGCCCCCCCCCAGTTCCTTCTCTACCCTGGAAAAAAACCCTTTGAGGAGGCCAGAATTCCAAAGTAGAGGGGAGGAAAGAGGGTTGTGGAGCATCCACAGGGACACTCATCTCAAAGGACATGAGTTATTGCACAGGTAAGCAACCTCCTCTTCTTGGAGAGGGGTTCCTGTGGGTGCTCCGCATCAGGTGGCTACAAAGCTGTATCATTCTAAGGAGGTAAGGACTTTGGATCTGGCATGAATGCGATCGACAGGACCACTTTGGAGAATTTCAGGTTAGACAAAGGTCCTTGAATAAGTGCATAGTGCTTTGCCAATGTATGGTCTGATGACCAGGTATCAGCTGTGCAAATATGTAGGAACACTAGTGAGGTAGACATGGCTCTAGTTGAATGTGCTTGTAGGCTGTTAGAAGGATTAATCTAATACAGTCCAAAATCCAGTGGGAGAGTCTTTGGGATGAAATGGATTGATCCTTATTGTGATTGGCTATAGACACAAAATCTAGGAGAAAATGTGAAAGGCCTAGTGTGCTGTAAATAAAAGGAAAGTGCTCTGTGTAAATCAAGTGCATGCATCTTTGATTCAAATGAGTTAGCGTGGGATTTGGGAAAAAATTTAGAGAGATGCATGGTCTCATTGAGGTGAAAGGATGACCGTTTCTTAGGTAGGAACTTGGGGTGGATATGTAGGGTCACTTTGTCTTTGAAAAAGGTGACATATGGAGAGTCTGCCATCAGTGCTGCAATTTCTCCTACCCATCTAGCTGACATAATGGTGACGAAAAATGATGTTTTCATATAGAACTGCAAAAAAGAACTAGTGGTTATTGGTTCAAATGGAGGCTGAATAAAGTGTGTTTAAAACCAGGCGGAGATCTCAAAGGGCCGTTGGTGGAGCCACATCTGGATAAAGTGCTTGCAGTCTTTTCAGGAACCTGTTAGTGAAGGGATGTGCAAGTATCAAAGAGGAGTCAATCTTGAGGTGGAAGGTTGTTATAGCAGCTAGGGATGTAGTCAACTATTCACTTCCTCCCCCCTTGCTGTCTCTGTATTAGTGGCAGCGGCGGGGGGGAGGAGGGGACACGGCAGGAACCAGTGATAGGGGGAGGGGGAGGAGCCAGCTTAAAAAACAGTTCCGCCAACACCTTCTCCGTGGGATGGCAGGGGAGGCAGAGGCGCAGCAGGGAAAATAGCATGAGCGGGGACTGGAGCAGTCTTTGCTCATGTTGGGCCTTTGCCCGTGGGGCTCGTACTACATTTAAAAGGCAAAGCCGCAGAAGAGATATCAAGCCCCCCCCACACTGACTATTTAAGTAGTCGATGGAAATTCTATTGACTATTCAATTAGCTGATTAATCAAAATTTAACATCCCTAACAGTAGCAAGGTGAACCTTGATGGAACTTAAGGCTAAGCCAGTTTGTTTAAAGTGAAGCAAGTAGTCGAAAATAAAGGGTAAAAAAGATGGGGGAGGGAGGCACGACCTGACAGTGGGCATCATACAGAGAATCTATTCCATTTTTAAAGTAAGTCTTATGAGTGCTCTGCACTCTGTGTAACAGAACTCATTGCACTTGTTGTGAACACTCTCGCTCGTGTAGAAAACCACTGAGGAGCCAAGCTTTCAAGTTCAGCATACATAGGTTGGGATGACTGGTCTGTATTCCAGATTGGAAGAGGATATCCAGGGTGTGTGGGAAGGAGATTGGTGGTATGCGGGACATCCTGGTCAGGAAGGGAAACCACGGTTGTCATGGCTAAGATAGTGCTATTAGAATTAAGTGTGCTTTGTCTCTCCTGGCCTTGTGGATGACTTTTGTTCATAAGAGAAGGCATAGAGGAGGTGAAATTAACAATTGATTAAGAAGGCATCTCCCAGGTAACCCAGGTTCAACTGCCACTTGTGTTCAGTGGGAAGGGCCCTGCTGAAGGCACTGGATGTCAGGTTGAGGTTGCCCAGAAGGTGTACAACAGCTATCTTTATACCATGTTTTAGACACCAGTTCCAAAGGGCAATTGCTTCTGTGCATAGGGTGTGGTATCAAGCTCTGCCCTGGCGATTTATATAAAAAATTTCTGCAATATTGTCTGTATAAAGTCTTAGATGATTGTTGCTGATGACAAAGGAATCTCTTGCATGCATAACTTACCGCACAAAGTTCTAGGATGTTTATGTTGAGGTTCCTGTCCTTGCTGGACCACATTCCCTGAGCCATACAATGTCACAGATGTGTGCCCCATCCTGTGAGGGATGCATCTTTCATCATGGAAATGGAGGGTTCTGATGTGAGGAATGGAACACTGCAGCAAAGTTTTTGTGGTATTGTCCACTAATGAAGGGATTTCTTTACTCCTGGTGGAATGGAGAAGGATTTGGATAATGGGTGTATGTTGGGTTTATAGACTCTCCTGAGCCAGCCCTAAATACCCCTCATATAAAGACAAGTGTTGACCACAAAGCTGCATGATGCCATGTGGCCCAAGAGTTGAAGGCAACTGTGGGTTGTAACTCTGGGAGTAGACTGTAATATTTGTACCAAGGCCACTATTTTGTGAAAATGGCCTGTGGGAAAGGAAGCAATGGCACTTGTGGAATCAAGGTAAAGTCCTATAAATTGAATCTCTTGCATAGGGGTCAAAGCTGCTTTGATTTAGTTTATCTGCAGTCCCAGGTGTTGGAATACATGTCTGATGGCTGATTGTGATTGTAGAGAGTTGGCTTTGAGAAGGTAGTCATTCAGGTAAGGAAACACGATCACATTTTTTTTTTTGCAGGTATGCTGTAAAAACTGAAAGGACCTTTGAAAAGAATTTTGGAGCCATAGAAAGGCCAAATAACAGGACCTTGTACTAGTAATACTGTGCACTTAAAAAAAAAATCAAGAGAAATCATCTATGAGCTTGATGGATGGAAATATGAAAGTATGCATCTTTCAAGTCGAGGGACAAAAACCACTCACTTTGGTCCAACACTGGTATAATAGTAGCAAGCATCACTATCTTGAACTTATACTTATTAAATTCGTTCAGTGCTCGCAAATCTAGGATGGGTCACAATCCTTCCAAATTCTTCTGTGAGGAAATAATGGCAATAAAAACCTTTCCTCTTAAACTGTGTAGGGAGTATTTCAATTGCCCTTAGGTGAAGGAGATGTTTAACTTCCCGTTGGAAAAGATTTTCGCGAGAGTGGTCCCTGAAGGAAGGATGGGAAAGGGGTATACACATAAAGGGAATAATATATCCTTGTTTAATTATTTGGAGGACCCATCTCTCAGAGGTTATTCATTGCCAGTTGTTAAAAAAATGGAAGTGCTGAAACAATTTAAGAAACAAAGATGACATTGGAATAGATGAGGGGTTCTCTCAACCCTCACCATGTTCAAATTTGCTTACTCGATTGTTGTGATTCTTGCAAATTGTTGGGGGGAGAGGTCATCATTTCTCCCCCCAACAATTATTTCTGCCTCTTATGGTTTGTTGATGCTGGTCTCTTTTGTTATATTGTTCGTGTACTGGGGATATCGGGGCCTAGAGTATGACCGATACTTACTATTGTTTCCTTCTAGGTGCCAGATTGTGGATGCCTAGAAGGCCTGAGCATTGGCAACAGAATTTTTCATGGAGTGCATCACTTTGTTAGTGTGGTCTGCAAAAAGCTTCTGTCCATCAAATGGGAGATCTACAATGGACTGAATTTCCCTGGGGAAGGAAGGAAACCAGGAGGCTTTTCTTATGACTGCTGTGGCTGTGGCCTGTGCCACCGTGTCAGCAGCATCTAGGGCAGTTCGTAGAACCGTCCTTGAGATTTAGGACCGTAATTGCTGAGGGCCATACAAAGAGGAGGTTACTTACCTCGTAACTGTAGTTCTTTGAGATGTATTGCTCATGTCCATTCTGATTAGGTGTACGCACGCCGCATGCTTGGATTCTGGAGCTTTTTTCCCTTAGCAGTGTCCATAGGGCCAGCAGGGAGCCCCCTGGAGTGGCACCAGTATACCGGTGCATATATACCCCTGCTGGCCCCTCCGCCCCCTCAGTTCCTTCTTGCAGGTTCCTTCCAACATGGGGAGGTGGGTGGGATGCAGAATGGACATGAGCAACACATCTCGAAGAACTACAGTTATGAGGTAAGTAACCTCTTCTTCTTCGAGTGCTTGCTCATATCCATACTGATTAGATGAATCCCTAGCTGTACCCCCTGGAGGTGGGGTCGGAAGATGACTAAATATCTGTCCTTCTGCAGATCTCAGAACTGCCCTCCCAACGGCAGCATCTTTCCTGGCCAACTGCGTAATCGCATAATGCTCTGCAAAGGTATGCACCAATGACCAAGTTGCTGCCCTGCAGATTTCCAAGATTGGCACATGAGCTAGGAACGCCGCTGAAATAGCTTGAACTCTCGTGGAATGGGCCATTATGCGTGGTGGTGGTCTACCCGCACCCTCGTAGTATTGCCAAATGCAGGAAGTAATCCACAAGTATATAAGTTGCGCCGAGACTGGCAATCCTTTCAGCCTTTCTGCCACTGAAATGAACAGTTGAGGTGACTTACGAAAACCTCGCATCCTGTCTATTTAAAACGCCAGTGCCCTCCTAACATCCAGGCAGTGCAAGGCCTGTTCCCTGGGTGTGGCGTGTGGCTTGGGGTAAAA